CTGCTGAGAATACATACTAGTCATCCCTTGTAACCACAGGGGATTGGTGCCAGTACACCTCCCTCACCAATGTTTAAGTCTTGAAGTCAGCCCTCCATAGTCATGGGTTTTGCATTCCAAGAACACTGTGTTTCCAATTCAAGGTTGGGTGAATCCGTTGAACATTAGAGTGAAACAGCTGATGCTGAGACCTGACTATACTTTAATTCACCTCTAGGTTATTTATAATATTAAATACAATGTAAATGTTATGTTAATAATAGTTGTGATACTGTACTGATTTTTTATTTCCATTATTTTTTTATTTTTGTATTGCTTTTTAGTCCCCTCCCCCCAGTTTCACTTTGCGGTTGGTTGAAGCCTGGGATATAGAGACAACTGTACTTACAATTGACCTTTAGCCATAGGGTGTTAATTCCTTAAAGTATAAAAATGTATGATTGTTCCCTACCATTCAATCATTTAGTTGTAATTATTTCCTCTTTCACCTTTTAAGAAAGGAATTCTGGTTCAGGAATGACAGAGAATACAAATTAAACTGGGGTCTGTTGCCTTTTCTACTTAGTTATCATTGATCTTTGTATGTTCAACTTTTATACAACTCAAACATAACCCAAATACACATATTAGCTGATAAAAATACATTTCAACCTATTTATAGGACAGCACTAGTGCAATCCAACACCCATTTTTGTTTAGATAACAACACCTGTCCTATTAAATGAATGTAATAAAAAGAAGAAAATGTACTTTCAGCCCTACAACAAAGTTCAAACTATAACTGAAACAAATACGAAGATTGCCAGGCATGCCCAAAATAATACAACTGCAACCTTCATAAAATGGAATTACTGTTGTGAAGAAAAAAAAAATACCACCAAAATTTTTGTAAAAGTTTATAAAGGCTACAAATATGTCAAAGAATATGAGAATAGATTAAGGTTTTAATGAAAAACAACTTTGGCTTATGGGAACAAAAAAACTCAAGCCTATTTACTAAACTTCAGGTCCATTTCTAGGAATACATTTATGGTTGCAAGTAAGGAAATAATTATACAGGACTGGTAAAAGTCACTATTGAAACAAAGGGTTACATGGTATAAACCTTATTTACCAAAACCGATGAACCACAACCCATCACTACTTGACCGATTTTTCTTCAATTTTTAGTTTAGAAACAGAGCAGTGAGATTTTAACCCTAGATGTAAACTAGAATCATTTGAACAACTTAAAAATACGTAATGCCTAGGCCCTCCTCCAAACAATTTAAATCAGAATCTGTGTAGGCATCAAGATTGAGAACCATAGGAATAACATTCTCTTCCTACTAAGGTTAGTCTTTCTAAAAAATACTGACATGTTATACTTCCCCTTAAAAAAACTCCTGCTCCAAACAACAAATGTTTAATATGTAGCAAAGGAAAAAGAAATCATCTGTTTGCTTAAAATATTCAACCCATGAAATGAGCACTGAGCAACATCATTTTACAAAACTCATCCAGCCTCTTAAGCGCCCCCTAAGTAACTGATGGTCTAGGTCACTGGGTAATTTTCTTCTCCCTTCTCTGTCCACACATACTCCCAACACAAGCCTCTTCTGTGAGGTTTTTCTCTACAAATCTATATGGATTTGCTTGTTTGGTGATATCTTCACAGAATTCACATATGCCCCACCACCACCATTTTGCTCATAAACAAATACTGCCCTGACCTTAAAATACGTTTGTTTTGTCTCCTCATCTAGATCACAGGTTCCTTGAGACCAATAAACATGATGTACAATGACTTACCCTCTGTTTTAGTATCTGGCATAGCAATGTACACACGATTGGTATAGAGCCAGGTTTCTCAGTCTGGCACCATGACATTTGGGCTGGATAACCTGTTGTGGCAGGTGTTCTGAGCACTATGGGTGCTTAGTGGCCTCCCTAGCCTCTGCCCACTAGATGCCAGTAGTCCCCCCACCCCACCCCCAAGATGTCTCCTTGCCAGATGTCCTCAAGGGGGACATTGAGAACCACTAGTATGGAATAAACAGAATAAATTTAAATTAGTGAAAATATTCGAGTGATGATTTATAGCATTTTATGAGCTTGAGGGAAGTAGAACTCAGTTGATGAAACAAAATGTCAAACTGAGAACTTTCTATTTGGGCTATTATAGGTTAGAGAGCAAACATAATGAGCTTTGGAGTTAAGAAAATCAAGATGACAAAAATATCCTTAAACTGAAGTTCTGGAAACTATCATTTTAGTTTTTGTTTCGTTTTGAATCACTTCATACTTGGAAATATCATTTCTAACAAAATGAGTATTTTTATTATTCAGTTGGAAATGTATCTGGATTTCATACATAACCCTGTATCTTTGGACTAAAAAATACCTGTCAGAGAATAAGTTTGAATTTATTGTAAATTTATAACTGTGCACAAATATCAGTTATGTTTATGTGTAATTTTACTCATTTTTTTCTTTGTTGGGAGAATTTGATTATTGTCCTCAAGAAAATCTTTTAGCTCCAAGTGGTAAATACATATATATAGACACACATATACATATGTAACATGTATGTATATAAGTATACATGTATGTGTATACAGTGTGAACAGTGACTATAGGAGACAGTGATTTTTTGTATTCTGTTACTTTGTTGTAAGTGGTAATTATTTTTTCCTCTTAGTATCAAACTAGTATATGACATCAGTGCTGTACAGTTGGTGTTCTGCCGACCTAGCAATAATGCATGACCCTCCTTTTTTTACAGCTATATGCCAGCCACGGTGCAAACATGGTGAATGTATTGGGCCAAATAAGTGCAAATGTCACCCTGGATATGCTGGGAAAACCTGCAATCAAGGTAGGAAGACGGTGTGACATAAAAGGCCAGCTCTGCTCCTGCCAAATTAAAAATGTTTAATTTTTGTCCCAAACCACTTTCCACAAATATTTTTCCCGAATATGTGAGCTATCAATTTGCTGATAGGTAAAAATATAGTAATGGTAAATGTAGTAAAATTTATTTCATCAAAGGACAATTAAATAAGTTTTATCCCCTTTTTCTCTGATGTTGCTTAAAATGGCTTTCCAGGAAGAGTCACCACGTCAGTCATGTAGAAGCCTTCCCGTGCTCCTGTTCTTACACTAACTAGTTAGGAAGCCTTGGGTAACTCCTTAACCCCTCAGACGCCCAGGCACCACTCCACTTTAATACCAGGAGTCGGGTGGGGGATTTGACATGAAATCAAGGGATTCCTTCCAACTGTTAACTCTTTAATTCTGTGATTTAATCTCCCTTCAACTTCTGACCAGTTTAGAATGTTTCTCTGAAAAATAAAAATGGCAGATAATGTAGTGAGCCAATGTTTTAAAAAATCAGCATTAGTTGTTTATAAAAGCAAACATTTATCCATCATTCATAGTGTCCCGGGTATGTTACATATATTATCTATTTTCATCCTCATAACACTCGAAGGTAAGAGTGTTATTTATCATAATTAAAGTATAAATAACTTACTAATTATTATTCCATTTTTCACTTGTAGAGACTGAAACTCTGGGACATTAAGTGTCTTGCCCAAATTCACAGAATTAGTAGAAGAGCTGGCATATCAACTTAGAGCTGTCAGGGGTGGGGAACCTGTGGCCTTCTGATTTCAAGATTGTTCTTTTCTAAGTACCAGATGAGGCAAGAAAAACGTTACCTTTCTCTGCTGCACCTCTTGTAATAAAAGGATTTGTCTGTAAAGCCTGGATTCCATCCAAAGACTGCACTTAGGACCTAGAAGACCTTGTGTTGCCTCCAGCTACAGGTCCCATCCTTTCTACCATATCACTTTAGATGAAAAACATAATTGGAGATGTGATCCTCTGATTCATGCTAACAAAGTCAGACAGTGCTTGTCTTTTTAATTTATTTCAGCCCATAATTTTTACCACTAGGAGTTAACAATCTAGAAATAAAAGCTAGGGTTAGATTTTACTAAAAAGATGAGTCCATTTTGTACTTATATGTTAAATTATACTCCTTATCATTTTAAATGTCAAATCAAATAATGACGTGACATCTAAATATCCCTTAGGTGTGTACTTGACCTCATCAGATACAGACATGATATCGCTAAAACCCTACTGTTCCTTAGTATCAGATACTTATTCCAGGATACTCCTTGAGGTGTGCCATGTAAACTAGTGATTTACAGACATAGTTTTTCACAGTTACCTAAAACATTGACTTTTGAAAATATATGTAACAATTCCTGAACCATCAGATGAAATCCATACTAGTACAGTGCGACTGACGTGTGGTAGGAGAAGCTTTATTCTAAGGTATGTTCTTATATATAGTGTTATCTAGTATTTGATTTAGAACTGATTTGCCAAATGCTTATCTATCTTACAATGATTTTTTTAAACGTGGTATTTACCAACCATACCTGGGTAGTCATTTTGAAGTAAGCGGTACTCTTATTATCTCAGTTTACTCTTTTAAAAATCCACTTGATTTTCCTTCCCCAACCTAGTTTACAAGTCTCAGCATGTTATTGAATTCTGGTTCTGTTTATTGAGTTATCAGTGTTCATCTTAGAATCCCACTATCCTTCTTTTTTTTAAGTGGTGACCATACACCCTCAGAGGCCTTATTTACTCTGTTAGCATGACAAAACTTTGTTGTCTAAAGGCCAGGAATTTATATAAAGAAGGCTCTTAAACGAAGCTACTTTTGAGATTGTAGAAAAATTCACTTAAATTTATTTGCAGTCGCTACGTCAACTTTAACATGCTGCAGAGCCACCACAACTGTTACTGGAAGGTCTCGTCATTGGGTAGCTTTTATTTGCAGAAAACCAGTTTACCATGTACTTTTATCTAGACTGTATGGATCTTTCTCCAAAGAAAAATTGGAATCTATCGAGTTAAAATCTTGTCTCCCAAAACCATATTCCTCAGGGAGAAGAGGATTTCCTTAGTAGCCAAATGGGATTTTACACTTGCAAAAATAGTGCTGACAGTAATGTAATTTCAAGTCTAATCTTGAAAATGAAACTCCAGTTTAAAGTAAACTTATATGTCTTAATCATCTCTTTCTTTCCTTAACCATCCTTACAAAAAAAAGCTGTGGGGCAGGTTCCTGATGGAAAGGGTTAGGCTTTTTGGGAGCAGGAACCCTCTGTGGTATCTCTGATTTCTAGCTTCCTGAAAACTATTATGAAAGTGATTTTTACATGGTAAGTCTGCATTAAATATTTGTCGAGTGAATGACTTTCATATCATGAACAGTGTAGGAGCGTGGAGGAGTTCCATTCCCTGTCCAGTACAGCACCTTAGATGGTCTCTGAGCCTGCGGACTGAGAGCCTGGTCAGCATGAGAGAGGCCACCATGAGTGGCCAGGAGAAGCAAGAGAGCTGCTTAGAGATCCATAAAAGTTACTAGAGCAGGGCAGCACCTGTGGCTCAAAGGAGTAAGGTGCCCGCCCCATATGCTGGAGGTGGTGGGTTCAAACCCAGCCCCAGCCAAAAACTGCAAAAAGAAACAAAAAAGTTATCAGAGTAAATTGTCAATAGCTGCTGCAAAACAGATTAACTTAGACTGTTTTTGTCCAGGCCCATGTAATTTAATAAAGTAGAAAACATTCCTCAGAGATAAAGGAAATCAAAAGGTTTCTTTTTTCTTAAGGAAAGAAATGTTAAGAAGTGTATTTGTAATAATTTTATAGAACTAGAAATTAGCTTTTGATTAAAAGTAGGTTTGGGTGTAAGGCAAGGATTCACTACGAATTTTGTTGCTAGTTATGTTCTTTAAGCAATCACCCCCTAGAAGCTTGCTTGGTAGAGTAAACAGCTTGAATTAATGACAGACGCTTAACCCAGTGCCTTGCGAGCTGCCTAGGGAGCGCCCAGAATAGCAGGGAAGGCCACACTTTGGAACTGGCTTAATTTAATTTAACAGCCTTTTCACAGGCTCAGGACAATTCTCTGTTGGTAGCTTGCTCTTCCGTCTGAGTCACTTTCTGGATTTGCTACACCTAGATCAGGTATAAAATCATGGGCTTGGACCAGCATTAACATACTCTTTAAGGCATGTATTGCCTTTCACAGGAGATGAAATTCTAACCCAGATTCTGGCAACGTTCAGTCTGATCATTCGCTTCCCCCCACCTTACTTTCTCCAGCAATTTTATTCATTCATTTCCCCCCCTCCTTGAATCTCTGTACCCATACAAATCCCCTATCCCCCCAGCTAAAAAAGAATACCATTATAAATAAGTCTTTTTATAATATGTAAATTTGTCATATTACTGCATATTTTCAGAAATGAAAGACATTTTTGTCTTTATTATATAATAATTTCGGGAGAAACTATAAATATCAATTATTAATGTTTTTGGCATGGTTTATGTGTCATATGTTGAATTCCTCATTGCAAGAAAAGAATTAGAGTTTTGTGGCACAGAATCAGACATTGAATTTCTATGGATTAGTTATATCTGAAAGTTGAGTGCTTTGCTAAGCGTAACAATCTGAGTGCTTCAACTCTAATATTAAGGTAGTTACTTATGGATTATTTATTTATTTATTTATTTAGACAAAGTCTCATTCTGTTGCCCTGGGTAAGTGCCATGGGATCATCATAGTTCCCAGCAAACTCAAACTCTTGGGGTCAATCGATCCTTTTGCCTCAGCTTCCTGAGTAGCTGAAACCACTAGTTTTTCTATGTTAAGTAGAGATGGGGTCTCACTCTTGCTTAGGCTGATCTTGAACTCCTGAGCTCACGGACTCCACCTGCTTCAGCCTCCCAGAGTGCTAGGATTACAGACATGAGCCACCACTCTTGGCCAGCCTTACTTTTTGAAAGGAATATGGATTTAACCCCAAAACCAATGTTCATCTGACTTAGAAATTAACTGGTTGTTAATTTCCACAATAGTCTAGAAACAGAATGCAGTTGCCTTTTTGTCTCTTGGAGTCTTACCCATCTTACAGCATTTTGGTAAGCTAATAATGGCAACAGTTAACAGATTCTGTATCATGCTTCTTATACATTTTATAAATTAAATGTGACCTAAATGTAGCTTAAGTTCTTACATTTGAATGAAACCATTCGTGATCTGTCATGCTATTGTTTAAATAAGGTCTCTTGTAAATCAAAAACTTGTGCATAATTTTAGAGTATTTTAAACTATTATTGGACAACATCATAATATAGGGGAAAAAATCTTAAATTGGTCATATAAGACTTCAGTGGCCCTAAGAAGGGTAGGTTGACTATAATCAATATTTGTATAATCTGTTTTTGTTCTCTTCCTCCTGTTGATGACCAAATCATGCTTTTTAAAATGCTCTCTTTTTTGCTGTTTTGGTTTTTTTAAAATGGAATGAGAATGATGGGTTGTTAATTTATAATGTGTGTGTTGTCCTTGGGAAGCAAGATGGCAGTGACAAATTTTTAAGAAAATAACAAAGACAAATTAAAACCCAGAAGAACCAGAAACTATTGTTTATGAAATATCTAAATCATTCTCTTTAAACTCTTCCAACTTTATGTAATTGTTTAATATATACTTGTAAAGATTTTTAGGGCTAACAATGACAACAGTTCAAAGTTGACTCTTATTACCTTCTTCCTGGTGTGAAGATGAACACTTCTACCCAACTCCTCTTCACCAAGGCAGTGAACAGTCTCTTTTCCAACCCCTGGATCATCAAGCCACCAGTTTACCTTCGAGGGGTGAGCGTGCATTGTCTCAGGTGGTCTGCTCCTCCCACCTGCACGGCTTCCTGCAGTTATGTCACTTCTTGCAAATGTTCTGAAGACTAGTCCAGAAGC